ACACTCTCTATATATATATATATATATATATATATATATATACCTTAAAAAAGATTGAGTTTTAAATAACGGTTGGTAATAGACTGCACCTATCTTATGCTAGGAAACTATGTCATTCCTAGTATTTTTATGAAACAGTCACTGTATCGCTTTATTATTATTTTGGTGGATAAAAAAAAAGCCTAAAACAACATTTTAGGTGCCCTTGCAGCCCATCGCATGTTACATACACTTTTTTCTTTGCAACACTACTTTTAGGCGTTCTGATGAAAAAATAAAACTTGACTCGAATTTTTTGTTTATGTTTTTCATCTCTTACACCTAAAGCCTTTCTCCATGGGGAAAAGAATGTTAAGATAATTTCTAAGAAATAGGCACTCATACAATATGTGATAATGGTAGTACAAGGTCACATTTTTTAGTACAGGTGAATGAAAATGATTAATCTCAAATACTCTAACAAACAAAACAGTGAATCAGTCATTCTTTTATTAGCAGAAAAGCAAAACAAAAAAACAACTAAGATAACGAACCAATAGTAAAAGATAATAGATTTCAGACGACGATAAGAATATAAAAAATTCTGGGAATGCGGACACCAAATACTCAGACGGCCCGGAATAGGGCGCCGACATGACTCCTCACAATGGTTCAGGGACAAAAGTACAGAAAAGCTCTGTTACTAGCTATAACCCCCACCCGGTTTACGAAAAAACTGAGAGCTTTAAGTGGACAAAAGGGCATCAGCATAACACCCGCCCTTGTGGTAAATTCAAGAATACCAGTTAAACCCCATTTAGGTGACTCAACATCATTGCCCCCTCCTTTGAAAATGCATCGTAGCCACCAAGAGTCCCGGTGCTAAGCTCAGGCCCAAAAACCCAGACGAAACAACACTACAATACACCTAAATCATGAAGGGGACGCCGCAGGCGGGGGAATAAATTCATGTCCCCTTCCCCCCCGCCCCGGAGGGGGGGGGCGGTTAACAAACGACATGCCGCGATACGAAGGCCCAGTTCGCATTTTTTTTTCTGATTTAATTAACCCCACGCGAAGGAGGCTTTGGCACCATTTAAAGACCATCTGCCTGGTGTTACTAAAAAGAACCATTCTATTAACGTAATATATCCAGGGGAATACTTTGGCAAAATCACACGGGCACCCCCTTGCAATTTTTCCAGGCCTATTGAATTGCACGAAGCCGATGGGACCGCCGCAGCGCTCGGGGAAGGCTGTTAGAGAAAGGGCAACACCTCGAGGCTTTCATTTTTCTATATTTATTATATCTTTTTTCTTCCCCATAGCCTCTGCCCGGGCGAGGGGTGGCTTTCGATCCGGTTCAAGGCTCAATTGTCATTCTATAATCTACTAAGTGGTTTCTGACTTTTACTTTACCAAATATATTTTAAGGATATTATGAACAAATATTTATTAATTTTTTTTCAGTCAAGTGCCGAGAGTTCCCCATTAACATTGCGCCAGGGCTGGGCCTCAAAAAAATACTAACCAGGTCTGCAACATCCCAAGTCCGTGTGGGCTATGACATAAAGGTGGAATCATATATTTCATTCCTTTGGATTAAATGTGATGGTCGCGTAGTTGGAAACGCTAGGAAAAGCTTGAGCGTGATTTACTGGTGATTAATTTGTTTCTGGTGTTCACCTTTTGGACTGATTTACTACATTTGCCATTTCCAATGCCTAATACGGGGAAAATGGAAAGGTGAAAAAAACATGCGACCGGTGAGGCTCGAACTCACGACCTTGGGATTATGAGACCCACGCGCTGCCGACTGCGCCACGCTCGCTTTGTCTCCGCGGACTATATCAGCAAGGACGGGTTTGCAACAGTCCGATACAGGAAAAAAGGGGAAGACGTGTCCGTGTGGCTCAATGGAAGAGCATCTGACTACGGATCAGAGGGTTGCAGGTTCGAATCCTGTCACGGATGTTTTTTTGCTCTTGCAAGGATGAACCCTGCCCCCGCACCCACAAATCTCCGGGTGTCATCTGCCCGCCGAACGCCATGGAGGATGGGCGTCGTGGACACGAAACACACGTGACTTTCCTCACTCAAACACAAACCCCTGGGAGACCACCAACAAGTAATAATAAAAAAAGATAAGAACTGAGGACGCCCTGCGTCAGTAATGAGTGTGCATGATAAAAAATGTTGTTTATATTATGAAAAAAATTCAAATTACGACAAAACACCGCTCTCGCTACCCGTATCGATTCATTGAAGGAATGCTTGAACTACCTGCCGTAGGCCGTGATGTAGGAGTTGACCGAACGGAATCGTGGACCTCCTCAGGCTACCCAATGAGGTGCACACCTGTCCGCTGACCTGAACGGAGAGATCTGTGTTTGCGCCCCATGGCGTATAGAAACTCTAGCATTGCCAGCGAATTGCGATGCTTAGGAGAAGAGCCGCAAAAGCCAAGGTGGTGATACTGCTGCCCCGATTCGTCTCAATTTCTCCCCTACAGTGGAAGTGAATTCAAAAAACTCGGATGGAGTTCTGATTCTCTTGGCTTCCACACACACTGACCTTTATTGCCAGAGTGGTCGGCGTCTAACCCCACTTCAATGTGGGGATGTCAACCCTCACCGCCCCGCTTAGGAACGATGATGTCGAGTGGGGTCGCAAACAACTTTACCGAGGATGCGCCCTCGAACACAGGTTCAGGTTCTCCAAAATGATCCCGAGGAGCAGAGACTATTGCTTATGCTTAAGGACTATTCGAGGGCATCCTTCTCAACCTCATCTTTAGCTAGATTTTCTCCGTTTTGAATTGATCGGCTATCATCTTACTTGAAGCTAATCACACAATACCATGACTTTCAAACAACACGCTACAGCAGGCCCCCGGACCCGCAGAAACACTATAAAAGGAGTAGGAGAGAGCCAAACAAATTATCTCTATTACTAATATTTTCTTTAAAAGAGGGGGAAGAAAACAATCATAAACGCATGAAAACGCAGGGTACTTTTTGCTTTCTGTTTACTTCTCCCTCCTATCCAACTGAGGTGAAGCATCCCCTCCCCCCTTTCCCCACCCCATTTCACACACACCAAAAGCACACATTCACCCCTTTTTCTCTTCCCCTGATTAGACCTCCTTAATCCTTGGATCGCCCCATCAACCTCGCCAGGGCCTCAGAGATTGGAATGCGTTTTCCATCCGAAGAAGAGGCCGGCGCCTCCTGCCGCGTGGATCGCCTCGCCGCGGCGACCTCCCGCCGCATCGCCGCCACCGCCTCGGCGCGCACCGCCGCCGCGCGGGCGTCGATCGCGCGATGCAACGCCGCCAAGACGT